AATCCTCTGGATTTCAGTGGTGAGAAGGTCAAAACAAAAAGGTTTCAAATCTCAAAAAGAAGGTCACAAAATAAGGCCAAACAAGGCCTAAGAGGGGGTAGACAACCCCCAACCCAAAAGTAACCTCAAACAAACATATTTAGCATACAAAAACAGAAATTTTTTTAGTTGGACACTAAGTTTGAAACAGTATGCAAGTATTTCTAAAAGCTTAAGCAAAAATGGGGAATAAAAGAGTAGTTTCTCACCCTTGAAGAACATTTCAAGAACACCAAATCCAGCACCTCCTTCTGATCAAAACCAACTCAAAAACTCTGAAATCGACTCCTTAGCACCTCAGTAACTAAGGGATAGTGTACCACTAGGTGCTTGAGTGCAAAAATATGAACAAAAACACCCTTTAGAACACTATTACACACACAACTATAGAGAGAGAGGAGATATAGAGAGAGAGTGATATATATCTTCTATATCAGTTGGTTGAACCCCTAGAAAGGGAGAGGAGGCTCTCCTTTTATAAAAATCCAATTTTGCAAAGCTTCTTGAAGAAGCTAAGCAAGGCTCAAATCCCTCCATACACGTGTATAGAGGGGGTGAATTGTGGATGCCAGTTGCACCAGCTGGCACAAAATATCTGCATAAAGCAAATGAACAGGGTTTGGCCACCAAAAATGGCCGATCGACCAAATGAAGTGTCGATCGGCCAATACCTTTGGCCGATGGAAAGAAAACAGGGCCGATGGCCTCAAGCCTTGGCCGGTGGGTTTGAGGGTATGGCAAAAAAGCCACCCTCTTTCCTTAGAAGCAAAAGCACAAGTGTTTGGTCCACAACCAAGCACAAAACATACAAATTGAGAGATCTTGAGACAAGGCGCGCGACCGAGACCTTCGAGAACTCAAAACGAACACGAACATGGATGATCATCGAGTGTTCAAATGATGACGTCTAAGTCTTGAGGATGGTCAAAAATGGGGTGTCTACATAAGGTTTGTAATTATTTCGGATGGTGCTTGCCTACAAATGCAAGAAGAAGAACTGATAAAATTAGAAGAGAGGTACAAAGAGATGAGTGCCTATAGTTTCAAGTTCATGCACTTGAAATTGTACATGAACAACTTCGATCTATCACTGCAAAGATGCAAGAAATGAAACTTTTGAATTTGTTAATTTTGGTAATTGTAATTGGTATTTGACTAGACTTCAATGTTGTTGTAAGTAAATATGCAACTTGTGGAGAATATTGAATGTTGTTGTTGTTCTAAGATGTGGTCCAGAAATTGATAAATCTTGCTTGAATGCATAGATAAGTGATGCTGTAATGCGTGATAACCATGAAATTGTTATCAATGTTTGTTGATCACTTGTTCGTAGGTTGCCTAGTTATGGAACACCAACCACAAGCAAGATTCAGATTGGCCTGTCTAGAACTTCCAAGCATTCAATACAACTTTTCATCAACCCTATCACATTGACCTCTCACAACTTAAAAAGAAAAAAAAAAGCAGGATAAATTCTCATGCTTTTAGACAGCATAAGCATTTGGACCCAAAAGAGATTGCCACATTGAATAGCATTTGGACCCAAAAGGGATTGCCACATTGAAAGCTTCAGAATTGCTGGTACATGTTATATATATATATATATGGAACAATGTAATAAACAAAACCAATGAGCATACACATTACCCTCAAATAAAGCCCCCATTTTAGACAAATTGCTCTAAAAACATAACAGGATAACCAACCTAAATTGGGTCAGATTTTCAAATGGAGAAAATGAAGGAAAAAATTAATCAAACATTTAAACATATCCTATATATACAAGCCTAATCCAATTTAGTGGTCATTTTCATTGCAAAAAATAATAGAACAAATTCACTAGTTCAAAAAAAATCACTGCCACTGAAACACTAACAGTTCCATGGACCTTTTTCAAATTAGAGTTGGCCATGATAAAAAAAACATCCAACTAGAATAACCAAAATAACATTAACATCCAACTAGCATAATATCCAACTAATAAAATAAAATCCAAATTGTAGCTTTCATTGCACCATTGTATCATTTGAAGGGACCTCCATCTACATGTCTACTAGCAAGACTGGTTGAGGCTTGCGAGTCTTGGACTCAAAAGTGGATACAAACACTTTAACCTCAAAGCAACTCCTGGAAGGATGTGTGACTAGGATAGACAAATGGCGTTAATTGAGACGTGTTATTTCTCTGCAATAGTGCTAAATTTATTAAAATTTGATTTCAATCTATAGCACTTTTAATGTAAAGTAAGTAATCAATTCTAACCTATGAAGTATGGGTACTTCAAAAAATATGTCGCATCCGTACCGGGTAGTTAACAGTGTATGGTACCTCGTATGGTTCTTCTGTATACGTACCGGGTATACGAAACACGTACTCAAATTTTTTCTTCTTAATTTTTGGCGTACCCAGACGTACTTACTATATACCCAAGCGCCGTACAATACCTCAGTTGAAATAATAGTTTCTTCTAATACAGAGATAAAATTCATTTCACTAGACTTCTTTTTTATTTTTAGTTTTATGCTTAGCATATTTTTAAAATTAAACTATGGTTTGTAAAATATATTGACAATTAATTTTGATTTATATCTTTACTTTTGGCATTAAATGTTAGTTGTAGGTTAAATCTTAACAAATTAAACCATTTAATTAAGTTTTGCATTACTCAAAATTAAAAATAAATATTTTTTTACAAGCGTACCAAATCGTACCCGTACCCTACTTTTTTTTAATTTTACCGTATCGACGTACTCGTATCATACTAGTACTAGTACTTGTACCCGTACCCATATCTGTGCTTCATAGATTCTAACTCACATCATATGTAGGATACATAAGAGGAGGAACATTTGTACCACCCATGACAAAGTGAGGTTAAGGTTAAGGTTGAGAAATATAAACACTGTGACCCTAATTACAACCAATATAGACGAAGTAAAATATAAAATATAAAATAAGAACAAATGATATAATGCATTTTCCTAAACAAATTGAACATAATATTGAATTCACCTGAGTAGAATTAGTACCCATGGAAAAAGGAGGATGAGATTGAGTTTGGGAAGTATAAACAACATGGCCCTAAATACAACCACAATATAAACAAAAAAAAATTCCATCATATGAACAAATGATATAATGCATTTTTCTAAAAAATTGAACGCAATATTAAATTTACTTGAATAGAATTAGTACCCATGGCAAAAGGAGGATGAGATTGAGTTTGGGGAGTATAAACAACGGGGCCCTAAATACAACCACCAATATAAACAAAAAAATTATATAAAATAAGAACAAACGGATACAAATAAATAAATCGAGGACAATTTTTCATATAATTACCTGGCTAGAATTAGCACGCTCAATCCTTTTCTTCTTCGTAATAGATTTTTCCATTGCACCTTTGATCCTCCTTCTTTCCTTACTAGTTTATTCTATTTTCTTCATTCCCCTCACTTGGATAGGAAAATGTATTTCATCACTCAGTGGGCAAGTGTTACATGGGGAATTTCCAAATTTAGTGACCTCCATTTGATCACAAATATGCACACTTAACTTCTCTTCAACCATACTACTCAATACATTACCTTTGAAACTGACAAATGATATGTTTCACCACTTTCTGCGGCTCTACTTGCTATTACTCTAAACATAGCCATTAATGACCTATATTGCTCACTTTGATGTAGTTTCACATCAATCTTGATATCATACCCACGACTATTTTTTTTTGGATAAATAATCAGATTTATTAGAAAGCATCAAGACGATGCAAAGAATACAAAGATGCGGCCCAAAAAGGGACTGAAACGAAACTAACTAATCAAATCCTCCACAAAATCTACGAAGACCAAAACATTCGGATCAACTGTACCCGTAACCCAACTATGCAACACCCTCAGCAACCTACGCTCTAACCAAGAGACAGAATGACACACATCCTGAAACACTCGCCTATTATGTTCTAACCAGACTAACCAAAGCAAACAATGAGAAGCAAGCACCCAAGCCTTCCGGCACCTTTTCCCCACTCTAGCCCCACCCCAACTCTGTAACACCCCCAAAAGAGACCTCGATTGCACCCACACTAAGCCAAACAGAGCAACAATATAATTCCATAATCTCAACGCAATCGGGCAATGAAGAAGCAAATGATCCACCGATTCCGCGTTCTTGCAACACATACAACACCAATTCAATAACACATGTCGACGCCAAATCAAATTATCAATAGTAAGGATACAATCGAAAGTAGCTGTCCAAACAAAGAACGCAACCTTGGAAGGAGAACAAGTTGCCCAAATAGATTTTGAAGGAAACACACCATCAATACCCCCTACAAGCACCCCATAAAATGAGGACACGGAGAAAACACCTTTGGACCTGTGAACATCCCAAACCAAAGAATCCGTCCCTTCCCCCCCAGTCTGCAAACCATACAAGAAACCTAGAAAATCCACCAAGTAGTTGAGCTCGCAATCCTGAACATGACGTCGTAAACGAACATTCCAAACAACTGAATCCCCTTACTTCACCCTGACCGAAGCAACTAAATCCTCTGCATCAGCAGCAATAGCAAAAATGAGCGAGAACCTGACCGCCAAAGACAAATCATCACATCACCGATCTTGCCAAAAGCGAACTCAATCACCAATCCCCACTTGGAACCGAACCCTCTTCCAAAACACCTCCCTCCCCAACCAAATCCCCTTCTACAACCCACGACCATAAGATTGAATCATCCTCTTCGAGCGCCAATCCCCTTGGGACTCCCCATACTTAGCCACCACCACCCTCCTTCATAACCTCTCTCGTTCCCCCACAAAGCGCCACAACCACTTGCCCAATAAAGCCCGATTAAAAGCCACCAATTTCCATACGCCCAAACCCCCCCTCTCTTTCAAATTACACACCATCTCCTAAGCCACCAAATGATAATGAAAACCGTCCCCACCCGCACTTCACAAAAAATCCCGTTGCAACTTCTCCAACCTCTTAGCCACCCCCACAGGGATCACATGCACAGACATAAAGTACGTCAGAATATTGGAGAGAACATTCTTAATCAAAGTAATCTGTCCCCCTTTAGACAAATATTGGCGCTTCCATCCTGCTAGCCATCGCTGAACTCTATCCACCACCCCATCCCACACTTTAGACTCCTTAAAAGAAGCCCCCAAAGGAAGTCCCAAATAAGAAACTAGCAATTGTGCCACTTTACAGCCCAAGATGGCTGCCAACACCGGTAACCAAGCCACCACACCCACAGGAATTAATTCTGATTTTGACAAATTAACCTACAACCCTGACATTGCCTCAAAACATAACAGAACACACCGCAAGTGACCAATCTAAGTAGAATTCGCATCGCAAAAAATCATCGCATCATCCGCATAGAATAGATAAGAAACCCGCAAACAAGTAAGCACCTCCCCTACTATAAAGCTCAATAATAGGCCCCCTTGGACCGTCTTAGACAACAAATGACTCAACGCTTCCATAACCAAAATAAACAGTAATTGAGACAATGGGTCTCCCTGTCGTAAGCCTCTCCAAATGGGGAAGAAACATGTCGGTGTCCCATTAACTAAGACAGACATCCAAATAGTGGAAATAGAAAAATATGTCCACCTCCGCCACCGTGCTCCAAAACCCAACCTTTCCAACATGTACATCAAAAACTCTCAATTTACATTGTCATAAGCCTTCTCAATATCCAACTTACAAATTAGTCCCCCTTTCCCTTGTCAAAACCGCAAGTCCACACACTCATTTGCCACCAAAACAGCATCCAAAATCTGTCGCCCACCCACAAAAGCATTCAGAGATTCTGAAACGACCCCCTCCAACACCCCTCGAAGCCTATTAGCCAACACCTTGGCCAATAATTTGTAAACACTATCCAAAAGACTTATAGGTCGAAAGTCACGAATATCCTCTGCCCCCCTCCTTCTTGGGAATCAAAGCTATGAAAGTGGCATTCAAACTCCTCTCAAATTGCCTAGATTGATGAAATTGCACAAACACATCCAACACCTTCCCTTTGACCACTTTCCAGCACTACTGAAAGAAAGCAATAAAGAAACCATTCGGACCCTGTGCCTTGTCCCGGGCATACTCCTCAACACACTTAAGATCTCTTCCTCAGTGAAAGGCCTCTCCAACAAGATCATATCCTCTGCAGAAATATAATCGAAAGCTACACCCTCCAACCCCGATCTCCAAATCTGGCCCTCATCACCGAACAAATGTTGGTAAAATGCCACTATACCATTCCTAACCTCCTCTTCTGAAGAAAGCATCACCACATTCACCCGTATTCTCCTAATCTGGTTCACCTGCCGATGAGCATTAGCCATACGATGAAAGAACTTTGTGTTATGGTCCCCATCTTTCAACACACAAACATCGATGCCGGAAACTAATCTCCTTCATCCGGGCTATCCGCGCATAATCTCTCCGAGCCTCCTACCTAACTACCACATTCTCCTCAGTAAGCTCTTCATCCAGTTCCTACGCATCCAAACCCTGCAAAACTGACAAGATATTTGACTTCTGAACCGCCAAGTAGCCAAAAACCTCTAAATTCCACCTCTTCAAATCAAACTTAAGAAGTTTCAATTTCTGAGTTAATCTATAACTGGGGGAACCCACAACATTGTAACTCTCCCATCAACCACCCACCGTTTCAGCAAAACCATCTGTTTGTAACCACATGTTCTCAAACCAAAAAGACGAAGGACCACTCTGGACTCTCCCATTGTCTAACAAAACTAGCCAATGGTCAGAAGTCGACCGATGTAATCGGCATTGAAGCATCTGAGAAAAATACTCCTCCCAAACCCCAGACACCAAGAATCTATCAAGCTGAGAACTAGCTCGGCCACCTAACCAGGTAAAATCGCCCCCCTGTAATGACAGATCTACCAACTCCATCTCATCAATAAAAGCTGCAAAATCCCTCATAGACCTCCCCACTGGACTTTCCCCAGTCCTTTCCACCAGGCTCCTTACGACATTAAAATCTCTGCCAACACACCACGGCAATTCCCATCTAAAAGCAGTATGCTGCAACTCCTCCCAGAAAGTGACCCGCTCTGAACCCCGAGCTGGGCCATAAACCCCAGTGACCACTTACCGAAAATCATCCTCAAGGCATCTGAACAAATAGGACATTGAGAAACCCCCTACTTCTACCTTCTCCATCACCACCACTCTATTATCCAAACACATGAGAATACCTCTAACCACCCTAATAGTTGGTTAGAACACCCACTCTATATGCCACCTACCCTATAACTCTCGCACAAACACCGGCTCAACAATCTCCATTTTAGTCTCCTGAAGACATACCACATCTACCCTAGCAGTCCTTAATAACGACTTAATGACCATTCGTTTAACCCGATCATTTAGTCCCCTCACATTCCAGGTCAAAATTTTTAGGCACATGGCAACAAAAAGGGACCACCCTGCTCCCTTCTAACTCACCGTTCTTCGCCTTTCGTGGGTCGATCATAATTGATTGAGCACTCAAGTCTCCGCAACTCTCGAACCCCTTTTTCTGATGGACCAGAAGATTGTCTCTGTATATCCCCTCCCTTCCATGACATTTCAATTGAGGAAAGTAACTTCAAAGCCTCCACCTTATGCCCAACAAATGAAACTCTTAGAAATTTACTAACCTCAGTAATACGGGTCAACACCCAGTCCGACACCTTATCTGAAGACGGTGGTAGATCAGCTGGAAAAGTTTCCTGTAAGTCAATCTCAAACTCTAGCTCTGAGTTTGGCAAACCGAGAACCTCATCCTTTATGGCCAAAGGTCTAACCACTATAGCCATGTCATCGCCGGAAAACCCCCTTCTTTTATCATTCTCTACCAGAAAACCCTCACCCCTCAGTGACTAGACCGCGACTTCCACAGGTAAGTCATCCCCGACCTGTCCATCAGCGAAACAAGGTGTGGCGTTAGCCTCTGCCGCCGACTGACCAGGACGAAGCCTCCTTTCCGAAACAGAGGGCTGCTCCAGCGATGACCACAACCCCATTTTGTCCGACGACCAACCCCCAGCAGCGCCGGTTGGCAACTGCAAGCCAACACCCTTGCGCAGAGATCCAAAAACCCGTTCGAGAGATAGGTTTGAACAAACCCTAGCCTCCAACCGTGGGCTGGGTACTCTCTCTATAGTAACACCTGGGCCTAAAGTAGTAGGGCCCATCTTTCCCCTCACTTGGCCCAAACCCTCCACCATAGACTTGGTCTGGCCCAGTCGCCTACTATGAACCACCAACGGTTTATTGGGGCTCAAACGTGACTGCCCCGCAGCCCAAACCCTTTTCCTAAAATGCTTCAACCTACCTTGATGTCGAAACCCTACATCATCTCCCCCAAATCTGTGACCTGACCCACCAAATCCTCTATTCCCAAAATTTCACCTATCATCACGCCGTTGTTGCTGATTTTCCTTCCCTAGCCACACTCTCCCACGATCTCCCTCCGTTGGCGAGACCGTGGCAACCGTAGGCCCAACTTCCGACCACAGAGGGATTACATACAACCAATCCTCTCATCGCAACGAAATCTTAGTCAGAATGGTGCCATGACGCGAACTTGCAATCAGACCACACCGAGATTCGCCAAAAGCTCATCAACCTGCACGAAACCACCACAATGGTCACCGATAGCCCTATACACTGCCAAGCCTTGAAGATGAATGGGTAGGCCCAACACCCTCACCCACACAGGCACCTCCGACGGCGTTTGGTTACCCTTATCACACAAAACTGTCGGTGACCACCATTGCAGATGAAGGTTGCGCCCGTCAACAACCCACCAACGTCGCAACACAGTTTCAGCGTCTTGACATGAAGCGAACACAAAGAGAAAGTCTTGTCCCCCTACTGGCCAGATCTCCACCTTGCGTGACGATCCCCACCACCGACCAACCCACTCTGCCATCATAGAAAACCCCACACCCTTTTCCCCCACCAAACCCATTACGCCCACCAAAGCCCTATTCAATATATCAGACCACCCCTCTTCAGCCATCACCTGAACTGGAGTAGCCGAGACAACCAGAGTTTCCTCTGGTGTTCTTTTCACCTCTAATACCCTCGTCCCAACACAAACCTTCGCAACCCAACTTTCACCTCTGGCAAAACCCTCAATAACCAATGCCACACTCTCCCAGCCATTTCCAAACTCAGAGACAAGAAGAAAAACCTGATGCCGATGACCTACAATGGTGACCACAATCTGAAACGACTGGCCACCATCCTCCTCATCACGAACCCAGATCGCCACACTCCGACTCCTGCCATCCAAACCACTTAAAAAGGATTGGGTTCGGATGTTACTCGAGGCCAATCGCAACTAGGTAATAACCCAACTCACCTCGAAACCGACCAAAATAACTTCCCGTCGAAGGCTTAAGCCACATTCCACAATACCCAAACATCGATGCCCCCTCTGATCCACTGTTTCCTCCTAGAACTCAAAGGACCGACCATCGAGGAAAAGGATTCGACATCGTGGGCCAACCTCCGCTCTCACCAGAAACATCCCTGGTGAGTCTACACCATTTATCAAAAATCGGCTCTATTTTTGGAAATAGTAGAGAGCGTTTTTTATTTTCCCGATTCAATATTGAATTTCTTTTTCTCTCCATACCCACGACTATTTTTCACACTTTTCGGCCCCTGCTTTTTTAGTCCATCACTTGAGTATACATCGGTTAGCAAGTTCCAAAGCATGCAATATATCTCTAAGCACCTTCACACAATGTCGGCACAATATGCCCTTCACTTCAAACTTTCTGCAACTACAACTCAAAGAGCCATCTCTCTCTATTGTCATATTCTTATCTTTTTTTCCATTTGTCATTTTGATTGTGTATACGGTACTCTCACCATCATAATTAGTGCCTATAATCTTCACTTCAATGGACAGCAGATACTCAACTTGGAATTCCACAAACATTGTTTTGGTGTAAATCTCTACCACTTGCTTTAACATCAACATTGGAACTATCACTCTCAACAACTTTTGGCACAAATTATATTCGGCTTCCAATTTCTTATACCTTTTCTCATAGAGCACCCTCTCAAAATGCCAAAATAAAATTCCATCAAATTATGAAAATAATTGAGATAATCCTTCAAAAAAGAATTGAAAGATTCACTAAGTTAAATAATACTCATTCCAGTTGCCCAAGAATTCATAATATATAGTCATTCCCAATTATCATTGAAACGAAAAGTCTGCTCCAACTAATGATTGTCACGTTGTAGACACCCCATTTTTGACCGACCTTGAGACTCAGACGTCACCAGTTGAGCTGGCAAAGCAGTCCATGTTTGGCACTTCTTTCAAAAATCTGCTTTCTCAAAACGATTTGCCGGATTTGGACTCTTTGGTTCAGACTTAGAACCGTGACTACAAATCGAGTCCGAGCTGTAGCGAGGTCCCCCGCGGGCTTGTTACACACGTGCATTGTACTTGTCAAGCATTTACTGCCATTGTAATATGAATTCTTCTTCTTCATCAATGTCATGCATGAATTTTGATAACACAACCTTCACCCCCATCACCTTCAAATATAGAACTTACATGTTTTACAGCATTTTGCATCAAATGTCACGTGCAAAGTCACTGATTTGTATTAGGCATCACAATTGGAAGGGCTTTAGCCATCGCAGCATCTTGATCCGTGAAAATAGTTTTTAGATCTTTGTTTGACATTGCCTCTAAAAAAATCCAAAACACCTATGTAAAAGATTCAGTAGTCTCATCATACATCAGCACCACACCGAATATGACTGTTTCTTAATAATGATTAAATCTGACAAATGTTCCAAAAGATCTATGCTCACTATTTAATTCGTAAGTAGTATCAAAGGTCATTACATCACCAAATCAACCATAGTCCATGACCATTTGAGCATCGGCCCAAAATATGTTAGTTATTTGCTCTTCAGAATTTAATTGAACTGCATAATAAAATGATGGATTTTCCAAAGATTTTTTTTGAAAGTAATGCAACACACTACCCGTTTCTCTATATGCTAAATCATTTTGTCTCTCCGACCTCAAATAAATTTTTTGGTTCAATTTGGTGAAGCCAAGTGATGATCTTCCACCAGATTCCCTACCAAATAACTCATAAGTAGACCTTAGAGGAATTCCAAATTATGAAACTAATTCTACTTCAACTGCTTGTATAGTAAATATTTTTATTTGGGATGGCAACATATGAATACACTCTGGTCATACAAAGTTATGATTATGATGTTCAACAAAATCATTAATAACAAATTTTCCAATATTCCTATCTAACTTGATCATAAATTGGGTACC